TCGCTCGCTGTTATTAAATTCTTATTATGACGAATATCGATGAAAACCCGTCTTCGTCCATCGGCCCTGACAGCGGATAGCGCTCGTTTGTAAATCTACCACGGCTTATCACTCAAGCTGTGTCACACAGCTTTCACTTCCGGTATAGATGATCTTCTCAGTCTGCCCTTACTAACCTTTGTCCACTTGACGGCATCAGTAGAAACTAACCTAGTGCGTGACAGCATAAAAAATTTACTGCTTATTTCTAGGATATTCCATGCTAGGGCTACAGATGTGAATTATATCAACCACAGTATGCTTCGTGGACACGTCATCACGTTCGAAGCAAGCCACAATCATGGGAAACGATTGCGGGAGAAAGAAATGTACTGAAGATGTGCCAAAGCTTGCACTACACTTGAGTACGCTCCATCCACGCACTTACCTAGGAAAGAATCAAGTTTTAAGTTTATATTTTATCTTTGTAATTAAATAACTCGATGTTTACGTGTACAATTTTGAAGTTCTTCGCCATGAACATCGCAGTTCTCGCAATAAGTATTCCTTGACACACCAGTAACTCCAGGAAAAGATCCCGCTTTAGATCGATTTAACACAAATAGTGGTCATTCCATTCTCCGACCATAGTTATTGAGGAAGTGTGTTGTTCCAGCCATAATTTCAGTTACACAAGATTACGATCAACTTCTAATATTCGCCTTTTTCAGCAATTTCAAAGCAGTTTTGCCTCCAGACCTTTCTCTTAGCGGGTAAATGTTCTTCATGTTTAAAGAATTCTACTACTGCTTCAAGAAACAAGCCAGCTAATTTTTATATACTTAGGTAATTGAATTACTCGTCATAAAGCTGTCTTATGTCAACACTTTATCGAAACATTTCGCTTATTACAACTCTCATCCACGAAGGTAGTCACGGGTGTGAATTCAACTGGGGGCCAGCAAGTTGATTCCATCTGTGAGCACAGCTGTCGTACAGTTAAGCGCCGTTTCTTCGGACAAGGAAAAACTGTTTCTCGAATAATACGGTAATAGACAAGAGTTGATGTTCTGGTCAGCATAAGCGTGAATTGAATCAGCACTAACTCCATAATATGACGCTAAGATATTTGCAAAACTCCGAACCGAGGTGACTGCGGTGGAGAACTAGCGCGTTATTACCCTTTCCGGTGGCTAACGCGTTCACCATCACACCATGTGCGCCCTTCGCTTCACCAGTCTGTCAGCTAGTTTTCTATCCACCGCAGACACCTGTGGTATACGTAGTTCCCTGCCATGAAAAATTATAAAAAGGGGATAAAACTCTCGGCGTTGATCAGTCCCTGAAGGATGCGCCATGCACTCGATCTCATTAAGTATCGTAGGTGGGATACCGATGTATCGATCTAGTGCTACTGTTTTCCGAGACAAGTCTGGTACCAATTCTCCGACACTGGAGGGATGGAAGGTTTCGTGGATCATGGGTGCGGAGATCGATTCCACGTGTGTGTCGCAGTGGTGCCTCCAACTGCTGCGCCACACGTGCCCCTTGAAAAATTATAATAGGCAGCAAATAAAAAGTAAACATTGTGGTTTCAAGTACAGCCTCGGTTTAACAGGGTTCATTGCCTATTTGGGCTTCCCAAATCAATTCCGTTGACGGGTTATTGCTGATGGCACTGATCAGTTGGACTACATCCGACCAATTTCTTAAATGACTATATGGATTGAAAACCTCTCCTTGCGAAGAAAAACATTTTTACTTTAATAATTCAAAAGAAGGACTTTGTATGAAGGTCGGCATAAATAGTTAGCATACTTATTTATATGATCTTATAAACTGAGCTTTTTGAGGTGATGCAAGGTTAGTATAGGTCATCGTTGTTGTTGTTATTATTGCTTTTGTCATTGCTGTTGGTGTTCTCGGTCGATGGCTGACGTTTCAGCGATTTCGCCTTCCTCAGAACCGTGCTGCTACAAGTGCGACTCATTCCACTATGGGTAATTGCGATATTTCAATTATTGATGGCTATGCTCTTTTTACTTCATTATTATTCAGTGTGTGCTCGTACCACTAGCAAAGTCTTCATTGGTCAAAATAATTTCGACATATCCGCGTGGAATCTCAACTGGGAGTGAACAGAGGAGTTACTGTCGTCCTCGTACCAACATATACAGTTATTCACTCGCAAGTGAAAAACGATCTGAGAAAGCTTGGCTTCTTTTTCGGATGAAAGAAAATCTACCATAAGCTTACCACATAGGAAGAGCTGGTGCCAAAACGATTCTTCGAGTCGTACAATTCGAATATGAAGCTGGTATGTGAGATGGTCGATGTAATACATCTCTCTGGTCTGTCGCCACTAAGATTTTCAAAGTATTAGTAATAACCCTATCCAAACAAAATCTCTCATGCTTCAAACGAAGATAATCAATTTTTCTAAAAAAGAGTTCTAAAAAAAGATCATATTCAAGTTCTTATGGCCATTTGCATCATCGGTACATCCCACGGTAGTCATCGTCCTCAGTTCTCGGTGGTCTGTGTCGTTTCCTGTCAGCGCCGGGTGGCGTCAGGAACAGATTGATAAGGCCACTCGAGTAGTTGGCTGGCACCACTTCTTTGTCTGCTCGGTGTTGTTCAAATAAAAAAAACTGCACAGAGAGCAGGTTATCTTAATATTATCACCATTTCCTTTCAGCTGTAATATTTGCATTGCCTGCTTACTTACTGGATACATGAATGATTCCTTCTTCATCGAATTATGCGAATCTTGTGATAAGGAATCCTGTTAAGCCACCATTTTACTTGTATTGCGAGCCTTTTTTATTTTTCCTAGAGTCTCCTAGCTAGCCATACTGGAGCGTTTCAAAGGCTAACCTCTTTGTTGATCCAAGAACACCGCCTCATTAGAGGTGCGTAGTGGATTCACACACTTTCCTTTATCAGTGGTAGTGACGAAATATTCTACATATCACAATATTATTTGATTGGCAGCATCGAAAGTTCATTTCCGCCTCTATTTCACGTTCCTTGTTATGGATTTTTCAACATAATGTTTAGTTCCAATGTATATCTTTTTATTTACTGCCTATTATTTTTTTCATGGCAGGGTATTATGTGAAATACAATCATAATGATGCTGAGATATTTCCAAAACTCTGACCCCAGGCAATTCGAAACCACGATTGCCCTTCTCGGAGAGCTTTCTCAATCACTTTATTACCCTAATGGTGCCATCAGCAATCAGCAAAAAGGCAAGGCGAGGGCCCTCATTGATGCAGCTGGTAAAACATGAGTCCCTGGAAAGGGCAGTGTAAAGTTGTTCAGCAGCTGTGATAGTAAATACAGTGCGGAGAAAGCGCTGTGCATATACTCTTTCCTTGTATTCTCATTTGAAAAATCTTCATGAAGAAATTTTTTACTGCTGACTGTGCTGCTTATCAAGTGAGTTGAGCAACTTCATATTTCTATTGAAAATATCAACGCTTTCAAGAGTTATAAGGTATTTAACGCGCTAACCGTGTCCAGTCTAATGTCTTTCTTTCAAAAAAACTCTCCTCACAGCTTACTAGCAATCAATGGTAATCCTTATCGTTGATAAACTGGCTGTTGGATCTCGCCTACCGTAGGTATTGGATCGAGGTTGGGACGTTTTAATCGCCGAGTTTGTAGTGTTTTTGGGTATTCCATTCCTTATCACTGCGTTCGATCATTTCGTCAAATTTTGCGGTTTCTCTTTCAACGCTTCGTATCTTTAACAGTATCCGTCAATGAAGGTGGGGAAGCTGGTAGTCGCCAGAGTAAGCAGCCCCTGTCGGCAACGTCGTCGCTGAACAAGGTGGGTGACAGCGTGGACTTCATGATCTTTTCTACAAATGAACAAACTCTTTAATAGTTCTTGACAACTGCTCGTGACTTTCCCATAACGTCTTGCAAAAAATAACGGTGCCGTCCTTCTGGATTTATGTCCAACATTGAAAGAAGAACCACTAAGCTTATTACCTATACTCATCATCGATTGCAATTTTTATTTCAGTTCCTTCTTTTCTGAACTATTTTTTAAAGGATGTGCCTCAACTCGATTTTAGTACTTCTGCAATGATTCTGTTAAAGTCTTTTTTTCGAGTATCATTGTCAATCTCTCGAGAACTTTCGACGTTCCCATTTCTTAGTGCAGGCAAATTCATTTCCTCGGTTCCCAGAAGGTCAGTCTTCCTCATGACCTTTTATCTCTTAGCGATTTTTCAACAGCAAACGTTGAAAACGCCTTCATTATTTGGAACTGCGTCAGCGATACGATTCTCTTTCATCTTTCGTTTGTAAAAAAAACATTTTGCCAACTTGAGGATTCCTTCATACAACTTTTAGATACTCGCATAGAAATAATTCGCCACTGCCACCACCACCATCACGTCCATTTCAGTAACAAATAATCGGGTAGCCAATGTATTCGACTTCTCATGGATCGAAACTTTAAGCCAAGTAATCAACTTTATGGTGCTACTTTCTAAATGCTTAAAGCATATCAACTGCCCACTTTGCTTTATCGAGTGCTTCCATATGAGGCAAAAGATCTAAAAAAAACTTCTATCAATCGCTGAAGCATGCGCGATGCATTTTACTTCATTAAGCATTGTTAAAAGTGATTCAATGCATTTCTGGGCTTTACTCGTGGTGGTCTAGCCATGTATTGAGCCAGTGCTGCTACCCTACCAGACAAGTCTGATACCAAATGACCGACCCCATAGGGTTGGAGAGCTTGGTGATCTTGTGACGTAGGGATCGATCCCGTGTGAATTGCACGCCGTCTCTGACCACTGCACTAAGCGCGCGACGTCTATATGTGATTCTATTGAATAATTTGTATAGTGAATTTGAGTAGACTGTTCTCTTGAATTGTTTTCAAATATTGAAATCACTGGGAGTGATTCGATTTCGTCAATCTATTCGTACAAATCTACTCCATTGATTTTCGATTGTACGTGAGAATTTCTAAGCATTTCAGGAAAGCAAGTTCAGTTATGGGTGGTGGCCTGGATCTCGCAGCGATTCTTCTTGACTTGCAACGAATGCGACTCGAGCTCGAAAGGTTTGCCCTATTAAAGTGAAGAAGCCGATTAGACATCAAATTACAAAGTACCGAAATGTTTGATTGATTGAAGAAAGCGTATGATTTTGGTGAAAACATCTGAAATGTGAAGAACCCTTCAAAAAGAAAGAAGTGGTTTCTTATGTACGTATGAGAACTTACATTCCATGGTCGACAGTGTGACTAATGATTTTTCTATGCGCTTCAATTTATTAGAAAATAGATCATTGTGTGTGATATAACGGTCGTTTGGGAAATATATGAGAGCGCTCTCATGGTACCGTTGCGTACTCCTGTTGACAACACTGGTAATGAACCGTTAAAGCGAAATAACGACCTTGGCTTTCAATGTTTTTCATCAATAAGCAGACACGAGGTTGTTAATATAGAATTTATTAGAACACAATTGCTGACGTTTCGGCGGTTTCGCCTTCTTCAGAGCCTGGAAAGGTCCAATTGAGATGTGATCTACTCAGCCAAACACTTTCACAACCCCAGCAGATAAAACTTGACAATTTGATTTGCATTCGCATAAGAAACAGTTTCATTCAAACACCTACCGTTTATTTGTCGTAAGTATTTAAGTTAGTTGGTGGATAGCCGCCGCACAGAGTAATACATGGTCGATAACTGTGCCCATGTCAGGTCATTGGATCAGCCTGAGGTATGGCGCCAGGTCACGCGTGATGACAACACACTCCTCCTTGCGGTTCATTTTTGAATTTTTGGCATTGATCCAAAACGCTTCAAGAGTTTTTCGCGCTGATGTTTTCGATTCCTGCGTAAGGATAGTGACTCCTACCTCAAAATCTTCTCCGTTGTGTTCTTGCATCCTATGCGCGCCTAGTGGAGTATTGTGTTTTAGTTTAGATTTACCGACTAGGTGTTCTTTTATGCGGACGCAGAGTGGTCTACCCGTTTCGCCAACATATTCGTGCCCGCACGCTTTACAAGAGATCAGATAGACTGTACCCGAACTCATGCAATCACCGTCTCTACCATTTGGGCAAATTATGCAGTTTTTTGTTGTACACAGACGGTCGTACAGGCGGTTGCGAACTAGCTGGCGTCTTAGAGTGTCCAGTGGTATTTCTATCACTCTTACGGAATTCTCTAGACCGGCCCTTATTAAGCAGCGTTTTATAGCTGCACTTATTTCGTTTGAAATAAAGGGCAACAGGAACGGAGCCTTGTTTTCGCTAGAATTATCGCTTTGGGGCGTGGGATTTCCTCGATGCCTATCCTGAGAAGCTACAGTTTCGTAACCATTTGAAATGGCTATTTGCCGGGCCAGTTTCGAGGATTCTTCCCTCTGCTCTCTACCTGTGCACACGCTAGCGGCGGTTCGAAACATATTTCTTATAAGCGCTCTTTTAGTGTGTGAGTCTAAGAAAAAATGCGAAATTTTATATCGACTTCGTCGTTTGGGTCTTGCTGTCTACAGAATAACCGAGGAAATGGAGGTGGTGGTAGTGCCCTTGCTGCTCGTTGTTCTTTTCCATTTTGTGTCTCAATTCTAGCGTTGCTTCGGAGTCGATCTTGGAGCTCGTGCAGGCTGCACGCTATCCTACGCAAGGTTTCTTTAGAAATGGGTTGCGCTGGTGAGAAGCTTGGACTGGCTTTGACCTTGGCTTTGTCTTTAATGATTAACAGTAGAAAGGATAAAAAAGGAAAGAGCAGGAAAGGAAAGAGGAATGGTATTAGGCAAATAGCCATTTCCAGTGGTGGTGAGACTGTAGCTCCTCGGGATAAGTGTTGAGGCAAAACCATACCACCAAACAATATTTCTAGCCATAAAAAGGTCTCGTTTATCTTGCATTTAATTTTCAACGAAATTGGTGTAGCTACAAACGCCAGTTAGTTCGCAACAGCATGTATGATCGTCTGTATACAACGAAAAATTGCATAATATGCCCTGACGAGAGAGACGGTGATTGCGTGAGTTCGGGTACGGTCTATCCGATCTTTTGTGAAGTGTGTGGGGATCAATACATTGGCGAAACGTGTAGACTACTCAGCGTCCGTATAAAGGAACACCTAGTCGGTTAATTTAAAGTAAAGTTAAGCCAAATGCTCCACTCCATAGGAAATAGGCACATAACCGAGAAAGTTTTAAAGTGAAAGTCACTGTCGTCTTACGGAAATCCAAAACATTGGCGCGTTAACCTTTTTAAGCGTTTTGGATAAACTACAATAATCCAAAAATGATCCGCAAAAAGGAGACTCGTGCAATCACTCCTGACATCGCGCCATACCTCAAGCCGACACTATGACCTGACCCCAGGCACATTCTTCGCCCATGTATTACTCTGTGCAGCTGCTCTCCACCAAATGACTCGAATGCTTACAAAGAACAAACGGTGGGTATTTAAAAAAAGCTGTTTATTATGCCAATAAAAAATTATGCAATACGTTTTATCTGCTGAGGTTACGAAAGCGCTTCGGTGAGTAAATTCCATGTCAACTTGATCTTTCCAGGCTCTAAATGAGGCGAGACTGCCGAAACTTCGGCTACGGTGAATTAATAAATGCTGTAATAACAAGCTTATACTTGCTCATCAAGGAAAACAGTGAATGATCAATGTCGATGTGGAAAGAAAGTCTGCCATGGGATTTGCTCATGAGAATGGCCTTCTCTTTTCTCATAATTATGCTACAAGTGGTTCTCTTCGCACGAATGAGTTTAGCACTTGATCATTCTTCCCCTACGCACCGTCAAAATCGGTAGAAATTCGCGCTGTGTGAATGACGTCTTGTGATTGATTCCAAAATCTCAACAACAGTTGTTACAGATGGAGATCTTAAAGCACTCCCTAAACCCTTTTTCACTTTTTACATGATACCTCATGGTATATATCAGCAAAAGATCGTTTGCAGGAACGATTCTCATACTCAATATGATCCATTTTGATTTATACGTGCACATTTCCTTTCTATCGAATCATTGCGCTCTCCATTAAAAGGTCCACCAACCAGCCAGAAGTTTTATAAGCACATTTAGAAAGATGGAGAGCAACTAGAAAAAAAAACCTCAAAACGGTAACAAAATGTAAGGAGTAAGAAATTTTACTTAGCTTAAACATAAACAGCTGGAAGACAATGCTTGGAATGGTTAGCATTTTTTATTTATAGACCTTGGAAATATGTCAAAATGTAGGCTCTTCGGTAATATGCTTATCCTTTAACACTTATCACCTAACATGGAGAAAATATGCTCGGATAGCTGCAGATTTTCCTTATACAGCAAGATAGTCATATTTAGGTCGCTGGAATCGTCACAGGAGATGTTCGTTATTCGAAAGGGCAGTATTCGTGGACGAAATCTGCATGTCTTCAACACCATACGAATGATGCGAATAAGAAGCCAGTGGCAGGTGAATCGAACTCGATCGTCAGACAAGAATCTATATCTCTCTGAATTAGTAAGGTTGAATTGAGTTGAGTTCATGGAGTGAAAATTCATTCGTTTTCAGAAAATTGTAGCTTGGTTTAGGCTGACCGGAATTCATGCCAACGTAAATAAGAAATATAAACGAAAAATGCCTAACTTGTCGCCAACTGCCCGTCTCAGCTGCGATCTGAGGGCGGATCCGACATAGTTCTCTCTGTTTATCAAACAACTTGTTCAGTTAGTAGTACATAGTCAAGGAAAAACTTGGCGGCTAATTCAGTTTCTCGAAAACTATCTTACCTCTACTAGACACCTCTGCTAATTCAGTGGTATTTGACTCAAGCACGTTTAATTTGGATGCTTTCTTAACGAATAATTACAGTAAGAATTCTTAAACTACCACAATAATTATTGTGGCGCAAACCTACAATTAATGGAGACACCTTTCAATGGAATGAAAGTATATAAAATTCGTGAAGACGTTAATTATTGCAAACTTTACACCTTCTTATCCTAACCCGCACCAATTCTTCACTACCTCATTCGTTACATCTTCCTTGTGAGATGTTTCTGGATGTTCACTAGGGCATACTGCTGGGAGTTCTTCACTTAAAAATCGCCTCCCAAGCTGGATTGATGAACTTCCGGCAAAGCTCGCGTTCACGTTTATGTTGTGAGCACGACATCTTCGGAAACCCAGCTAATAGCAAATCGTTATTCTTCCTGAACTCAGTGGCAAGTGATGACAGCCTAGGCATGTTCTAGTTCGGCTACGGGAAGGAAAATCTGGCTCAAGCAGCAATTAGCAATCAAATACAAATTTTGCTGGAGCTCGCACGATTCTACATTCGAAGAAACAAGTGATTCAAGTACCAAATATCAAGTTGTGCTTCACCCTTTGTTGTGGTTGTTAACTAAAGTCGATTCCGAATTCGTTTCGCTTCAATGCCGTGGTTAGCATATTTCTCCATGAAAAAATGTTTTGGTTATCTATGTGTGTTCCTTTTCTAAAATTGTACAAAAATCAAGCCTTTCAGTAGAGCAAGAAAGCTGGACTCTTATGTTGTGCACTAAGAATGGCTCAGAAAATTTCTCCAACGAAAAAGACAAAAAAAAAATAAAAAATGAATAAAAAGATAAAAAAGATAATGGTTGTCAACGAAGTAAAAAGTCTGGACGTTGTGGCCCGCGCTAAAAACAACACGGATTATGTGTCCAATGAAATGCAATCACCTGAAACGTTGAACAGAAAATTGAACATTGATCATACAGAGCGACATTCAACTGGTTGCGTTCTTCAGAGAGACTACATAAAAGAAGAAACGAACAAGGTTGTTGTATACATCACATCATGCAGAATTCATGGTCATGTCTGGGAGCGATGCCGTTATGCGGTAGTCTTTTCCTAGTTAACATTTATTGTTTGACAGATTCTGTTAATACATAATCTGGTTACGTTCTTATTTTGGTTATTATGACTATGCTTTTTAAACTATTACTTTTTATAAGGTCTTCACTACAGTACTTCTGACGGTATCACTGGTTCAAAATTCAGGTCGAACTTTTAAGAGCCCTAAAAATCAAGGCCGAGTTTCGTGATCTCCATATTAATTCGTCATTAGTGGACGAGTTAACTGATCGGATGCAGCTGCGGAAGGTGGGACATTTATATTTCTATTTGCATAACACGAATACCGAGATAGGAACGTCTGATATTACATAGAAAGTGAATGATCCTAAGTAGGCTCATTATTTTGGGTTTTCAATAATTCAAAGGCAGAAAGAAGGTAAAAACGTAAAGACTTTCGGTGCTGACCAGCCCTTGACGGATCCATGATAAATTTGACTCTGTTCACAGCAGAGATATTGTAGAAATAGAATGGATATTTTACCTATACAACGACTAACCGTGACCTACCTATGCATCAAGCTTGTATTGCTGTCCTTCTAGAAAGCCTCCTATTAATCTACCGACCACAGAAGAATAAAGGGATTGTTTATTTCGAGCGTGGAACTGAACCGACAACCACGTGGGAAATATAGGGTAGCCCTAACCACCACACTACATGCGTACCAAAGAGGACTATCGAAGCTAGATTAAAAACACATAAATCTAATTATGCGATTAGACGTTGTTCCCGAAACCTGAGAAACAGTAGGTTATCTACAAAATTTCAGAGCGACCGTAAACTTGTCTACGATGGCTTGCCAATGGTATATGTGAATGGGAAATACTTCGGTGTGAGTTCTAAGATCACTATTGTTCATTTTTCTTCATGTCTAACTCTTTTCATTATCATAATAGATAAAGAATTAGTCTTCTTTTTTTCGAATCAAACATGGAGGTTAAGAAGAAGAATTTCAGGACAAGGAGCAATAAAACTATGAAATAAATTTTTTTTTAGTGAATTCTACCCTAAATTTGACGTCTTCTATTTTTTGTTAAAAGCCTTTTTTTGTTGTATCGAAGCAGATATTTATGGATTCATTGTAAGCTGTAGGTTACACTTCTGAAAGTAGTTCTGTTGTGCTTAAAAATTGAAGTTCTATTATGAAGCTCAGATATTTGCAAAACTTGGACTCTAAGCCAGATTCAAACCCCACGGTTACCCTTTCCGCGGACCACGTGTTACCCACGCATCTCAGCACAATAGTGGTTATATTTCACACAATATCCTGCCTTAAGAAATTATAGTAGGCAACAAGTAAAGAGGTAACATCGTGATTTTCACAACGGCCTTAGTTTAACTGGGTTCAACGCCGATTTGTGCTCCGCAGATCACTCCCGTCGACGCGCGACTGCCGATAGCACCGTTAAATAGAAAACTAGCTGAAAGAAAAGCACAGGAAATGCCTCAGTTGTACAGTAGGCAACACGTGAGGGATCGAAAAGTATAGTTGCAGAGTTAGAATCTGGCCTGGCGTTCAAATTTTGTCAATATCTCAGCACTGTAGTCGTTGTATTCTGCACTATATCCTGCTGTGAGAATTCATAGTAAGCAGTAAGTAAAAAGGTAACATTGCACAACACTGCTGGTATTTCTCCTAGCTCACTGGCGCCGCGATGGAGTCGTTGGCGCCATCAGGACGCTGTTGACGAGGTGAAACGTCAGCAGAAAACGTTTGTATCGTCATTTGGTCACGTTTCCGTTTATAACCCAGAAATAAGCGAATTTTTATTGGAGTTAAGCAAGCTTTTACCCTTTTGCTCTACGAGAAGTTTCCGTCCTCCCTGAACTAGCCCTAAGACACTTACGTTAGAGTTTGACTGTTGTACCACCTCATTCGAACTCCTCGCCTCACAATGTTTTCGGCGAGAGTGGCATTACCACCATGTGACTTTACTTAAGAAAAATAAAACAAGAGTCGAAACTCAATTCTGTTTTTGCCGAACAACTAAAGAATCGATGAAAGTGGCGCTGTTTAATTGGCCACCGAAACTATCTTCTAGCTACACTACACCTTTCATCATTCTTCACAATGTCAAACTAAAGTCAAGCTCAACAGGGTCTTCTTCCATGCTATTTTTGCCAAGCCCGTTCTCTTGGTTGTGGTTTCGCTAGATAGTCCCTCAGAGTCGTTTAGTGTCAAAATGAAAAAAGCAGTTGTTACCTGCTTGCATGACATCCTAACAAGGTCCCCGAGACTGAAAACGAGTGAAGAATCAACCCCTGTCAGCTGTAAAGTTCTTGTCTATTGACTGACTAAAACTCAGTGGAGAGCATCTTATCTATATGATTGTTATATGACGTGATTGCGAATAATGGCATCACCGCAAATGGTATTCACCTATGTTATTCTATCTATCCTATATTCTAGAGAGGCGCTTTCTGATTTTAATTGCTTGGGGCACTTGGAGACGACGAAAAATGAAATAGCATCAACTTATTTTGGACGCTGAACAAAATTTTAAGCAAATATAGATCATAAGTAATGCTTAAGAAAAGAGTCGTAGCATGAGGTAGGTCGCAGAGTTGATGGTGTCGCATAAGACACAGCTTTCACTTGGTAGATGAACTCTAGGCACAATACAGGTCCCATACCTCTGGTCTTTTTGTAACGAAAGTCCTATCAGACATATGGACGTCCGGCACTATTGCATTTCGATGGGATAAACGACCACTTCAGAATAACCACATAACGATTTCTGGTTCTATTACTTCGTTCATTAAGAATTTATTGTTATATCTTTACTTCTGGTTCCATCACCTTGCTTAATAGAATGGTCAGTCTCACTAAAAGCTATCAATCACTGACAGCAAGGTATCCCGTAGAGCAATCACTACTATCACATCTCGTACTCTTCGGCTTCATTTCAGAATTGGTAAAATCCCTGTGAACTCAGTTTTTCCTAGAGCTTTGTTTTTGTCCGGATTACAATTTTTATCAAGGAGACGGATACCACGGTAATAGTGATGTCCGTCATCACAAGCATAGTGCTAGTCCGATTTCGCTTCGGGACAACCAAGGATCCATCCGGCGTCGCAGGATTGTTACTGGACTTGTCTGGGAAAAAATCACTCCCTGCAATCCAATTGGGAACGACCCAGCCCGGCTATCTCAGGACTTCAAGGAGAATTGCTGGACCAGCATTCTGGGACATTCAAGATGAAATGGAAATTCAGCACACCTTCACTTCCTTACAAATATAACACATACAACACAACGGCAGCTGACGTTTCGGCAGTATCGCCTTCTTCAGAGCAACTAACATGCAATTTACTAAGTTGAACGCTTCAACAACGCAAACAGAAAGATGAAAATCTGAGCAATAATTACACGATCACCGCGTTCTCGAAAAACCCACCGTTTTTATCTGTTTCCCACTAAGAACGAGCATCCGCTTAGAATCGCATGTGGTTGATTGTTGCACCATTCCACATCAAAAATCACTTCTGAGATACGGGGCTAGATCACGCGTTATCTCAGGGGCATTCTTCGCTGCTATTCATTCTCGGATTTTTGGAATTTATCCACAAAGCCTTGAGAAATTTGCGCGCTGGTTTAGTCTGCCGTTTGATGATAGCGACTTTTACAACAAAATCTTCTCCGCTATGTTTTTGTATCCTATGCGTGCCCAATGGAGTTCTTTGTTTTGATTTTCGTTTGTCATCTAGGTGTTCTTTTGTGCGGATACATAAAAGTCTGCGTGTTTCGTAGATATACTCGTCTCCACAAGTGCCACAAGAGATCGGCTATATCGTACCTGAACTCATGCAGTCCCCGTCGCTGCCATAAGAGCAGATTACGCAATTCTGTGTAACTGCCACGACCGACTTTCTATTAACCTCGGCATTGATCAAGTGATTTTGTTCGAATTTTTTTTGAGCAAACGCGAGGTGTTATTGTTCTTTGTTCACGATTAAGCTAACGTTTCGGCGAATTTCGCCTTCTTCAGAGCCGCTTTCTATGAGGTCTCCACTAAGTATGTCACGTAGAGACCAACCGCACAGAAATCACGTGGAAGTATAATGTGACACATTCACCATAGAAAGCGGCTCTGAAGAAGGCGAAATTCGCCTAAACGTCAGCTTAATCGTGAACAAAGAACAATAACCCCTCGCAATTCTGCGTTTCACATAGGCGGTCGTATAGGTTACGAACTAACTGACGACGAAGAGTATTCGGTGGTATTTCAATTATCGCTACTGATTCCTCTAGATCTGCTCTTCTTAAGCATCGCTTCATCGCTATTTCATCGCTAACTAAGACCAATATAAACGTGATTTTGTTTCGGTCAATTATGTATTTTTTCCTTTTGGCAGGGACGGTGACTGCATGAGTCCTAGTATGATACACCTGATTTCTTGTAGTGCTTGTGGAGACGAATATATTGGCGAATCGCGCAGACTTCTATGAATCCGCATAAAAAACACCTAGATGGCAAATGAAAATCAAAACAAGGCACGCATAGGATACAAAAACATAGCGGAGAAGATTTTGATGTAAAAGTCCCTATCATCGCATGGGAGACTAAACCAGCGCGCAAATTTCTCAGGGCTTTGTGGATAAATTCCAAAAATCCGAGAATGAATAGCAGCGAAGAATGCCCTGGGATAACGCGTGATCTAGCCCCGTATCTCAGAAGTGATTTTTGATGTGGAATGGTGCAACAATCAACCACATGCGATTCTAAGCGGATGTTCATTCTTGGTGGAAAACAGATAAAAACGGTGGGTTTTTCGAGAACGCGGTGATCGTGTAATTATTGTTCAGATTTCCATCTTTTTTGTGTTTTTGAAGCGTCTAACCGAGTAAATTGCATATTGGTGTACCCTTCCAGGCTCTGAAGAAATATAGATTAAGGAAGTACACCACTAAAAAGCTTTCGAAGAAGCTTAGAAATCTTAAGAGTGTGGAGATACGAATAAACGTTGCCAGGCAATGTGTTAATCAGAATTCCCTGTGAAATTCAGTCTACACAGGTTTTCTCGCATGAAATTCACCACAAGAATAGCTTTAACTTCGTCATTAAAAAATAAAACTTTCGCCGCTGGTAAATCCCTGAGGGATGCGCCGTACATTTGACTTCACCAAGCATCGTTAGAGGCTCTCGAATGAATATCTGGCCTATGCAATGACTCACGGTGGTCTACCGATGTACCAGGTTAATGCTGGTATCCTCCCAAGCAAATTTGGTACCAATTTGCCGACCGCGAAGAGATTAAAGGATTAGTGATCCTGGACGTGGCATCAAAAGATTGATCACATGCATATTGCAGAGAACTTCCAACTACTGCGCTACACTAGTAAAGATACTGCCATCATCTACAAAGATGAGTAATTTCAAGCGTGATGTGCTAGAATACGTAATCGCTTCCATACGCACTCTCCTCTTCGCTCTTTCTATAAACACCATATATTTCTATCCTATGTTTGTTTCAAGGGCAGATAGCATTAGTAGTAGTGCCATTTATCACGATGATGGTTTTTGTTCGACCTCGCTGTTGGGACACCAAGCATCTCATTCCTTCGGAGTCAAGAAACTGGTGCTAGACTTGTTTGGGGGTAGTTCATTCCCTGTACTGCAAACGAAAAGGCTGTAGCCCGGCTACCACAGGACTCTAGAGAGAACCGACTCAGCCAACATTTAGCAGTTTTCATAAAGAAGACGCAATCCTCAAGTTCGAAAGACGATTGAGGCGAAGAAACAAATTAAATGCAGAAAGTGCTAAAATCTGTACAGCATATTTGAAGACGTTTCTTATAAAATTAAATAATTATCCACAAGGGTGCTAAGATATGCAGCTTCAGCTTAACAAGGTACATTTCCGACTTGTACTCTTCAGTTCATTCTCGTTGATGTCTAGTTGTTTATAGCACCGTTAGGGAAAAAATTAACTGAGAGAGAGGCAAAGCAATGGCGTTGGTTGGAGCAGTAGATACGACTTCAGCCCCTGGAGAGGATAAACGCGAGTTCAAAGCGCACCTAGGATCTAACGCAGTGGTCGGAGGCGCCTTGCAACACACGCGTGGAATCGATTTCCTCACCCATAGCCCACCAAGCCTTCGAACCCTCCGGGGTCGGTAAATTGATACCAGACTCGTCTGGAAGGGTAGCATCACTGGTTTGTTACATCGGTAGGCCACCGTAAGTCATCGTAAAGGCCAGAAATGCATTCAAAAGCCTCCAAACGATGCTTAATGAAGTTGAATACATGGTGCATCACTCAGGGATTGATCAACGCCGAGAGCTTCATGCTTTATCAGTACCTTTGTGTTTATTTCACGCACGTAATATCCGCCTATAAGGAATCAGGCAGTCGATAGAAGTTAACGCATTGTAAATAGATAACAATAAATGTTTATTTCTTCTTCAGCATATCAGCATAATACTTTTCACCTTTGAATAGGTCTTCAATCTAACTCAATCAATCAGTTTATTCATTCAATTTCATCGTACATTTCTGTTTTCAGAATGATTCCACACTGATTCAAGAAAACGACAACAACAATCTTGTTAACATCTTACGAGATTTCCAGGTAAGTTGCTCAATTAAACCCAATCTATGCCAGAAGAAAGAAACTTTAATGTTTCCTAGACATCTACGTTACTTTTCACTAAAACTATTTCGTAATGATGCACAATTGTTTAGGGTCGACTAGAATGCGCTACTTGTCAAGGCATCGGTTATACTGTGTGTAGATTCTGCAGAGGTGGGAAGAAGATTCAGGAGACGTTCCGCGTGCGGTTACGTTGTACACGTTGTGATCGGAATGGCATCGCACACTGTCCGAGCTGTTCTTCTTCTTAACCACTTAGTCATTCAACTACTTAACATTTCCACTTGACATTTAAAATCAACATTTGACCACAACATTTGTGACACCCCGCGTTTAGCAGACCTATGGCCTGGGATGGCACCAGCCGTTACGGGCGCTACGGATTTTTTGATAATAAACGACAGTTTCTCGATGACCAGAGGACACGATGGAATGTGCATATGAAAGGATTACAGAGGAGACTGGTCAATCGCACTACCGGTACCAGTGGTATGGACGCAACTATTTACCATGTGTATAGCCCATCATAAAAACATTACTATCAGCACTTGGAAGCTGTTTGAAATCTATGCCGTGCCTACTCCGGCATTTTTTTGTACCTCCTCATTTTGTATAACAAATAGGATTCATTTATTCATATGTTCTCATGAACTCGAGTAGGATCCGTAACAGCGGAGCTCTGAGGAAGGCGAAATTGACGATGTGTCGGCCATCGACTAATAGCAAAAACGAGAACAGCAACAGCAACAACGACAATAACATAAACAACAACGACAGCAACAACAACTGTAGCCAATCCCAAGATCGAGCTTCTATTAACCTCGGCGTTGGATTATAAATGTGTTGCTCCCTTTTTCAACAATCGAGAGGTTTTTATTCAGTACACGTTTACTTCCGTACAAAAAAACACATGCAACACAACGGTAGTTGAATCTTCGGCAGTATCGCCTTCTTCGGAGCCTGGAAGGGTACACTGAGACGCAATTTACTAGCTCAAACTCTTGAACAGCACAAACAGAAAGATGAAAACCTGAACGATAATTATACAATCTGCAGCCTCTCGAACAATCCACCGTTTTTTCACCTGGTTTTCACTCAGGAAGAACAGCCGCTTAGAGTCGCATATGGTTGATGACTGCTAACTGATGACTATAACTATATCGAACTCGCGTCAACTCAACAAGATCAGTTCATAAGGACATATATATCGCGTATCGATTATTTATGCCGAGGTTTATAGGAAGCCGATCTTTTGAGTTCTTAAAATATGTTTCACTTGCGTTTAAAACTGAAATTTCAATCAATTGCCTCCTAAATTAGCAGCAAATGAAGTCGATCGAGGTAGCTTTTGCATATTTCCGCATGCACCATGGGGGTTGTCCGCTTCAATATCTGCCTTGAGTGTGCTATCGACCGTTTGCAAGTGCCATAGGAAAGCATTCTGTACACTCAAATAAACCATCAGAATAAGACAAATCCTATATATTTCAAAAAAACGACTTTTTTTAGTCTCTATATAACTAATCGATATGTAACCTTTCGCTGATAAGCTAACAAGAACTTGATTTAAAAAAGAAAACCCCACATAGCTCATATCGGCCACACCCAGCGCCGAGTATGAGTGCATGAAATGCACACCGTCGATAATATTGTACGCAACCACCGGAAAACCAAGGCAAATAAGAACATCCTGATCAAATTTACCTCGAAACTAGGTGAATCATGATTCTCCTTATTGCTTTTCATAAAAACCTTCCCTAACCCAGAAAAGCGAATCAAAGCAGGGAATGTTATGCCATTAGCTCACAGACTATCCCTTCATTCTCGTTAGGAAACCTTAGACAAGTAGCAATAAGCAATACAATGTGACTGGCGAGTCCAACATGTGCAATCCGACGCTTATCCTGACGACTTGATCAATGTGCATATTTTGAAGAACCACAACCATAGTGAAACATATTTATTCCAAAAGCTCGCGAAAACATCTTAAACCGAATTCTACAAGTAAATCTACAAAAGGAAACCTCCCATAACAGCACTGTCGTCTCATGTATGCTAAATGTTTCCCTCACCAATATTCCTAGTGTCAAGTGTTTGTCAAATGTTTTCAATAACATATATTTCACCTCATTTACTGAACGAGAAAAAAAAACGAAAACATTTAAGAACAAGGAATACTAGGAGAACCAGTGCTACAACATATCCATCCTCCTTTATTTCATATGTCGGAAGGCCTATCGAAGAGATGCGAGTAGTATTCGTGAATGATTTTCTCCACTGCCGTTCGGACGCTGTAACTTCCGTCTGGGCGCGGAGAGCAATCATTTTGGTCATGTAATTGGCGAAGCTTTGGTGGGCTTTGCGAATGATCTTCACAGCCTCTGCAGCTTCGGCCATTACTGCTGCTCTTCTCTCTCTCTATAAGATCTTCTTTTATCGCCTATGTGCATTGTTTTGCAAGTTCAAGATAAGCAAGACAGTACATCGACAATAACTGAGTTGTTGTTCGCATACAAAGCTACCACTCAAGACTAATAATCTACATAAATGAAACAATTAAACATAAAATTTACAACACTCACAACGTTTATGAACCTTAGAATAACATTTATCGGATTATTAGTGATGAAACCTTGATTAAATTACAATGCAATTGATAGATTTCCTACGAATATGTCCCCGACCTGAGTGCATCCTATTCACGTTGACGTAGTTGGAATCGCATATGCGATTTCTCAAAACAAGCGAATCAGGTAAAGTAAATGAGTAGAGTAACAATCAAAGGCCTTGCCTGGAGTGGTGGGTAGGACATGAGTTCCGGAAAGGGTAAGCACGGGTTGGAAGCTCGCTTGAGGTTCGGAGCTTTCCTCATATCTCAGCATCGTTGTGGTTATATTTCACATAGTACCGTGCTATAAAAGATGAATATGTCTTCAACATGGGAGATATCTAGGACATAAAAATATCACGATTTACTTTTGCTACATTCATAGATCATTACTGAATCTCTTAATGAATGTCAGTATTGAACAAATCGAACAATTAAATACCCCAGAAATAAACACAAAGTAAAATGTACTTGAAGGAGCACAAAAATGTTTATAAGAAAACAACAGTAGTGAGTTAGAACGAAGAAAAAGTGTTCATAAGCATAAATAGACTCTGCGCAGGAATCAAAGCATGAAATAGACGTGTAAGCCATGCAAAAGTGAGAAGCACATCGGAGGTGCTCATCATCAGGCTTGTCTACTATTTTTGATATATTATCAGGTTCTAGTACTGCATAATGAGCGGATAACGAAGTGTTTGTGATGCCATTCTAACAAACGCGTCTGGGACAAAGTCGGCCCCTTCTGATCTACGTGGGAAAGCTCTAGCACGGCTATATCAGAACTTAAAAGTGAATCAACTTGCTATAAATCAATGACATTCGTGAAGAAGGCAAAATTCCTTAAGCAGCAGCCAAACCAACACGAAAATTTTCGAAGAGACTTGAAATACGCGAAAAACCTCTTTCTGGCGAGAAGAAGATGGAAAAGATTCAGGAATAAGAGGAAGAAATATAGGAAAAAGAGGATGATAATGAAAATACTCGTGGAAGTGAAATTCGCAGATATGTTACTCGATATATTAATCCTCTAAAATCTTTGAGGCAAAACACTTCACTGAGGCACAGCTAGTTATGTGGAAAGCTTTTGCTATCAGACCCGGTTATTCGGTCAGATAATTTCATTCAAACTACGCTCGTTTCAGAATTGGCCAAGTAGCAAAACCAGTTCACCTTCGTGTAAATCTGGAACAATGTTGAACACTATGACTGGCTATTGTAATTAAACTCACTTGGAAAAATCCACAGTAATTTTAATATCTACATGAACTCTGTATGGCAAAATGCTACGGAAAGAATTACAGAGCTAAGCTTATTATATATAGCAAGCTATATATGGAATAAATTTTATATACATACGTGTAACTCTCTGTTTATTTCCTTACATCCAACTACATGAATAAAAATGCAGGCAAGTCAATGTGAGACTTACCAACGTCCACCAATCTTATGTTTTTAACACTGTATCACCTGTATCACCCGTGGTCACGTTGATCGTCGATTGACTCGAGCGAGCTCCAGTAAATCTTCCATTTTTCTCTGTCGCGTACAAGAGTAGCCCAGTGGGTTCTGCTCGCTCTAGGGACTCGTCGAGCATCATATCTCTCTTCTACGCTCTTTGTGAAGAACTCTGACCATCGGGTCGGTGGTCCTCCTGCAGTACGTTTGACATCCCGAGGAATCCAGTCACTAACGGCTCTTGTCCATCGGTTGTCATTCATACGCATTACGTGTCCGGCCCACCTTATCTTCGACTGCTTGGCATACAGAACGGCATCTTTGATTTCTGATCATGATTTGATTTCTGACACAGGTCGGAGCTTAGGAACCCATTCCTTACTTGTGTGAAACGGGATACTGCTAGCATCGTCCTTTCGACTGCGCTTTCGATAACGCCGAGTGGTCCTTCATCCTGCTTACGCAGCGACCAGGTTTTTGACGCATACGTTGTTACTAGCACTATTATTCAAAAATATTTCCTATAAAATCGATAATAGCAAAAAAATGTTGGAAGAAAGTACCTTTTTGTTCCCCTTTTGCAAAGACGGGATTTATCAATATGCAATTTAAATACTATATTGTTACCATTTTTGTTCTTAATGATAATGGACTTTGTTTCGAATTATTCTCGAGGACTGCATATCGATGGTGAGGGTTGAGCAATTCCTCATTTTGGCTGAAACAATAGTGGAATTGAGGTGACAGCAGTTTGTACGGTTTTTGCCATTTCTTTTACTAATTATATAATACTCCAGTCTTCGCGCTGTTCTACATAACTCACAGTACTGAAAAGAGCTGAAGTCACGGTCAGATGGTGTGGCGCACAGTTCAATGATTCAACACTTATCACACAAACCATTGGTCACTGGTACGAGGTTCATAGCGAAGATTATTTACTGTGGGCTAGGAAATGAATGTTCTAAGCGAAAGCTACGTTTATGTTCACTAGGAACTGGAAGTTCCATGCGGACACTTCGTTCTACATAGCATTTGTTAGTTAAAGGTGAAGTGAAAAGAACGTTCTAAGTGCGGTGAAAAAGTTTTCCATAGGAATGTAAATCACTACAAAGTAAATGCATAGATTGCCATAGACTTATTACACTTTCAAACCGACCGCCATTTAACGTCGAGATAACAAACAAC